GATCATGACCTGAGCTGAAATCAGATGGTTAGCCAACTGGGCCACCTAGATTCCCTCTGAATTATGTTTTCTACCTGCATTTTCTGGGCTTCAACAAATGCCAGACATTAGCACTATGTTAGCATTTTACTGATATTATATTAACAGACTGTATTCTACCTAGTGTTCAAGTTACTCTGTGGCAGTAAACTAGACTGGAGACATTTTTATTTATTCAGTCCACTGAGGACATCAGGTATATCTTGCATCTTATATCTTACTGCTCCTATGACCAAGCATGGAGCTTTTATTCAGAACAAGTCTACTCAGTTAATGGCTATTTAGTTGATAATTACTTTGCACACTTAATTAGTAACTACCTTATCAAGAGCAACTTCCATATTAGCAACTTTTTCTTTCAAACGGCGCTCCTGCGATCTCAGGACTTCCAGTTCTCCAGCCATTTTGTTTTTTTCTGTTGCAACAGTACTCAATTCCTGGCTTAATTTATTCTTCTCTTCTTTTAGAAAATGCTTTTCCTATAATTATAGAGGAAAAAAATGTCAGAAATAATAAGCTGATGTAGATGCTCAGATGTGAAGGAAATATAAAACTAATACAAAGATCTGAACTATAGTTTAATTCATATGCCACTTAATGTTCTGAGTTGGAGCTGGTAGCTATTAGAATCATGTCACCATGTACTCTGTTATTTTTATCACTACTGTTATTATAATTTCTTTCTAGGCTTACTAAATCTTTGATAAAACCTACAAAGTATATTATAACTGTTGCATAAAACAGCATAATGGTGAATGGACACTGAGTAATCATATACTAAATGTAACTGAAATTTGTTTAAATGACAAAAGAGATTTAAAGAAGATACCTTTATTTGAAAGCTTTGTGAGTTTCTATTATGTTTCAAGGTTGGCTATTTATTTCACAAATGCCTACTGAAGATCCTACAACATAAATAGATGGGACATACAGGGATGCCTGTGGGGCTCAGTGGGTTAAGTGTTCGACTTCAGTTCAGGTCATGATCTCACTGTTCATGAGTTCAAGCCCTGCATCAGGCTCTCCACTGTCAGTACAGAGTCTGCTTTGAATCCTCTGTCTTCCTATCTCTCTCTGCCCCTGCCTCACTCATGCTCTCTCTCTCTCTCAAAAATAAATCAATATATTTTTAAAATGAGGCATACAGTTCTTCCCTTAAGTCACTTAAGGCTCAGTGATGAAAATAAGCTTATTAATTTACTTTTGGAGAGTCTTTGGTATTCAACAAACCGTAATTAAAATTTGTTCACATCCCTTTAAAAAACATCATGGAACAGGAAGACAAAAAGAAATGCAGAGTAGTCAAGTTGCCTCAATTTCTATTTCTTTAAATATGTATTTCTTTCTTAGGGAAAATGTTTAGTGAAAACAAGGTAGAAGGTATTGCCATTGTAATAGAGTTTCTGGATAGAAATAATTTTGTTTTTTCTCATTAGCGAGGCAGAAAAGGCTTCAGAAAGAAAAAAATAATTTTACAAGCTGCCTCCTTTCTCTTTGAAGGGGATGTCATTGGGTTTTGATGAATACTTTCCTTTGGGTGGGGACAGGCACCTCTGTGATAGAAGGCAGTGACCTCTTATACTCTAAGTGTCCTCAGGGAGGATGAGGATAAGCACTGCTTTAGGTCCAATGGGCAAATAATGAAAGAAGAAAAAGAAAAAGAAATTAGGATAAGAGAAAAGAAGGAAAGAAAAAAGTATGAAAGAACAAAAAAAATAGGAAATAAGTAAGTCCATGTGAGGAAAGGTAGCTTTATTCTAAAAAAATCTTTTTAATGTTTATTTTAGAGAGAGAGAGAACGAGAGTGAGAGCATGAGTGGGGGGACGGGCAGAGAGAGAGGAGACACAGGATCTGAAGCAGACTCCAGGCTCTGAGCTGTCAGCACAAGGACCAATGAGGGGCTTGAACTTAATGAACTGCTAGATCATGACCTGAGCCAAAGTCAGACACTTAACCAACTGAGTCACTCAGGAGCCCCAAGGGTAGCTTCATTCTAAAAATGCTCACTCTGGGTCTGGGGAGAGCAAGTGCCTGGCTTGTGCTTACTTTCTACATATGCTATGTACCTCCTCACCTCCACTACAGCCAGTGCTCATATAACTCTGCTTTTACAAATGTTGATTTGTTCCAAAGTGACTGAACTATCAGGCAACATCTGAGCACCACACAAATTTCATACTATGCACAGTTGCATTTATAAGAAATACTAAGTCAACAAAAAACTGCACCCGGCTAAACATAGCTGTGTGGGAATACACAAAAAGCATACACCTACCTGCCACTAGCTCAGTTTATCCTGTGGTCTGAGTCACATCCATGCCCATCTGGTGTCACAGAAAACCTCCCTTCTACACTCTCACAGTAACTCACAAGCTGCAGCCCTTTGATGCACACTTCTAGAAGCAAACTTCAGGTCTTTTCCAAGATAAAGGACCATATTTATTGTAGTATTTATGTATTTCTTAACCATTTAACGTGTAAAACTGTGCTACCGCTTTTCATTAGGTTCCTATTTTTTCTATGTCATTGATGAAATTTGTTAGTGAGGTGTTCCTAATCCCATTGTTCTCATAACCCCCATGGCCTTTTCTGCACAATTCTGTAGACATACATGTCACATTATAGCAGAACTGTCACATTATAGCTTTGTTAATAGTCATTTCCTATCTCTACCAGGAAGGTCCTTTTGTCCATTTTCTGCAATATAAAATACTAGTTCTTTCAAGGTCCTACTCAGTGGTGCCGGGGTGGCTCAGTTGGTTAAGTGTCTGCCTTCGGCTAAGGTCATAATCTCATGGTTTGTGAGCCTGCTTCTGTCTCCCTCTCTCTCTCTGCCCCTCCCCTGCGTGTATTCTGTCTCATCGCTCAAAAATAAACAAACATTGAAAACAATTAAAAAAACAACAAGATCCTACTCAAATGTTCCTTCTGGAATTTTTCCCTAATCCTCTCAGTCAGAAAGAAACCCTTTTCTCCAGTGTACTTTGTAACTCTGCTACATCTTCTCCTGCCTGCAGAAAATTAAAGAGTGAACACACTGGCTTCCCTCATGCTGAGCACAGGGACTCACCTTATTTGCAGTTGTCATTGCCTCTTCCAAAAACTGTATCTTGCTTTGAAGGGCATCTATCTGACCTCTTTTAGCCGTGATTTGCTTTTGCATCCCCATTGCCACTTTCATAGCTGGGGCAAAAAAGAAAATAAACTGCCTTAGTTTTTAAAGTTTCTAAATTTGGGGAGGCTACTATAAATTTATGGTTAAATATGATGAGGTGACAAGATTCTCCAAGGCACTTGGACAGTTTCAAGAGACTGATTACGGGAAAAAAAATCTTTAGATTTCACAATTGGGATATAACAATTTTCAGCAATTACACAGAGATTTTGAGTTGAGAATGGTATTTTGTGATTTCTTGCTACTGGTATTGATTTCATTGACCATCATAATTTGCCATATCTCCTGATCAAATTTATACTTACACATATAGAAAAGATATACATAAAAATTATATAATGAACAATGTATTAATTTTCTAGAAATTCATATTTAAGATGCCACAAAAGGGGTGTCTGGGTGGCACAGTCAGTTAAGTGTCTGATTCTTGATCTCAGCTCAGGTCTTGATCTCATGGTCGTTGAGTTCAAGCCTTGCACTGGGCTCCATGCTGGGTGTAGAGCCTACTTAAAAAAATAAAAAACCCACAAAAGACATATATTATTTTTTTTCATACGATATCCTATAAAATGTCATAAGTGATTTTGTAAGATATTTGCTATTAAGTGATCTTTTTAAAGATTCCAATGATATCACAAACCATTCAACTTTCATTCTCATTAAAACAATAAAAAAAAAATATCTTACTCAAAAAAAAATAACAACAAAAAAAAACCAAGATCCTACTCAAACAAGATCCTTTACATGTGCCTGGAACTCACTACTATTTCAATAGTCAAATTGGCAGCATAAGCATATATAGAATTATTTCACTAAAAGTGGTGAGGGGTGAGAATGTTCAGGGCATGTGGTAAGCACTGAACACTTCAGACATGGAAGGCCATTGAAAGGACATATGAAGCTCATCCTTGCTTGGAAATTCAAAGCCAGAGACCCAGTGTTGTTTCCTACAGGAAAGAGGTTTGAAAATGCCACTTGCTTTGAGTTGAGTCAGGTCCAGACACAGCTTAGAGGAAAAGAGAAAATGTGCCATTCTTTTCTTTTTCTTTTTTTTTTTAAAAAGATTTTTAAAAATATTTATTTGGTGGGGGAAAGAAGAAAGAGAGAAAGAGAGTGCGTGTGTGCACACACACACGAGTTGGGGGTGGGGCAGAGAGCGTGGGAGAGAGAATCTGAAGCAGGCTCCACGCTATCATCACAGAGGGTGAAGTGGGGCTTGAACCCACAAACCATGAGACCATGACCTGAGCTGAAATCAAAAGTCAGTCATGTACAACCAACTGAACCACCCAGGCGGCCCCAAAATGGACCATTCCTTAGAAACAAACTATCAGAGAGGATAAAAAGTCTCACTCCTTGGTAAGGAGTAGTTGCTGTAGCGAAACTGTCAAAACAGGGCTCATCAGGCATAGCAGACTGATTTATTAACAGAGCAGCAGTCTGACATCATTTGCTCACCATTCAAGCACTCTGAAGAACTCTGGTCTGATTAAGTGGATCACATTTGGCCTTCAAGCTTGTTTTCTTTAATCTCTTTTATTTTAATACAATTTTAATCAATAAAAATGAGCATATGATGCAAAAACAGGATTACCAAATGAACTGAATCACTGTAATGTGACTGGGGCTGTTGTGGAGATGCCAGGAGGGCACTGAAGAGAGAGCTCTCTCTGGTGGTGGTGGGGAGGGAACGAGTCCCCAAATGGGCCTCCTGAGTGACCTCTTAAACCCCACCGTTTGCTTGGTGTTAACCAGCAAGAAAGAGCTGAACCTCCAAAAAGTAAACAAAATACAGAACACTTCAAGAATCTGCGGGCTGTCTCTGGACAGGTATCATGATCGTCTTCTCTGTATCGTTCTAGTTTTAGCATATGTGCTGCCAAAGTGGGCACAGAAATAAACCCTTGACACTACAAAACACGGAGAAATGAAAAATATAAGGCTTTACTTATTTATTCTTGCAGTCAGTTAATATAGCCGTGCCAACAATAACAAGAGTGATACAAAACAGCAGATAACCTCTCTTGGAATTAATACAGGCAGCAAGGGACAAAGGGAAGAGGTCCAAGTGGTGAAAGGGATCACTCATGCTAGCAGTTCAATTCCCAGGGTTTATCCTGTTTGTATCACAGAGAAGGAATCAGGAACTCACAATTAACCACAGATTTATAGTTTAGGTTGATAAGGAACATGTGAAAAATAAGAGGTTAGACAAAAATGATTGGTAACTTGTATCTTTATCAACACTTCCCTAAAAGTAATTAATTGGCATTTACAGACATTGAGATCTATTAGAGATTGGTAAAAGAGCCACAGGAAAAGAAAGATTCAGATACTTTAGGGCTTAAATTAAGCACACGGCATTTTCCCCAAAACCCCCTGAGTAGAACGACTGCTAACACCCATGGTTGGTGCCTGTCACTGTGCACAGGGATCAGGGAGAGGTGGCGGGAAATGCATCCAGGCTTGCGTTCTAATAAATCTAGACCAATGGAATTAAAACAGAAGAATAAAATCTAATAAAGCATACCATGACCATCGGATCCTTCCATCGACTTTAATGTATTTCTTGTCTGTTCGAGTTCAGACTGTGCAGATTTTAATTGCATTTTCAGTTTATTTGTAGTAGCTTCCATCTCTTCAGTTTTGTTTCGAAAATTCCTTTTTAAGACTTCATAGTCCTCTATACAGTGTGATAATTAAAGAAGGTTACTTTTTTCTATCCCCTTGTATGACGTATGTTTTATTTGTGATTAATGAGCATAGAATTTTAGAGCCAGAAGAGACTTCGTTTAGCTCTGTCATCATTTGTTATAGAAGTTAGATGTACATACACATTTCCCAAGTGGATACGCATTCTCTACCCACTTACCCCTGCTTTTTCCTAGCCAGTGTAATTGGCTCACGTCAATTCCATCTTAAATTTCCTTGGATGGTTGTAGCCACCACAACGGATCTCAGCACCATCTGTAGGTAGGTGAATCTATGTGATGTGATAAGTAACCTGAGGCTGCTATGTGCTCTAGCCTTTTTCTTTCAATGTTTATTTATTTATTTTGAGAGGGACAGAGAGAAATCACATGAGTGTGCACATCGGAGCATGCACAGCAGGGGAGGGGCAGAGACAGAGGGAGAGAGAGAATTTCAAGCAGGCTCCACGTTGTTAGTGCAGAGCCTGATGCTGGGCTCCGTCTCAGGAACTGTGGGATCATGACCTGAGCCGAAATCAAGGGTCGGATGTTTAACTGACTGAGCCACCCAAGCACTATTCTATCTAACTTTTTATCTCTAGTAATTATTTAAAGAACTGGCATGCATTTATCATTTATACACAAGAACACACACACACAGAAACACACCTATTCAACTTCTAATATTTTTATATATGATAGTTTTATATACAAAGGGAACAGGCAGAGCCAAGACCTCTCTGCTGAAATCTAACTGTCTCCCCACACAATGCCATGTGGATGTCCTAGCACCACCCACACCAACCAGCTCATGCTGGCTATGTACCATCCGCTGGCCCGTAAGCCTGCCCCTCCAACAGTGTCCCTCTCTCAGTTGTTGGGACCATCGTTCTCCCAATACCAGAGACCTAAAACCTGAAGGCCACATATAAGCCTGCTAATCACTAAGTACTGCTGTTCAATTGCCAGAATACTCTTTAATCCTTCCTCTCGTTCTCACAACCACCGCCCTGGTTCAAGTTCTCAGAGCTCCCTGGGGCCACGGCAAGATCCTCTTTGGCTGGCTGGCCCCTGGCCTTTTCCTATTCACCTGCTGACACTGTCCTTCCAAAATGTAAGTTAGAGGACAACAGTCTCCTACTTAAAGTCTTTTCCTGGCTCCACATTGTCTGGCTCTGTCTATCTACTCTGTCTCGTATCTTAGCCCTCGTTTCTCAAATACTCAACTACTTCTGAGGTCACATTGTTATTTCATGCCTCATGTTTTTGTCCATAATGTTCTCTCTGCCTGGGCTGCCCTCCCACCTCTTTTTTACCTGCCAAATCCTTGTTCTTCTTTCAGACTTAGCAGAGGAGGTTTGAATCCTATTGGAGACTGACTCTCTACACTCTTCTCCATCTGCATCCAGCACACGGTTCCTCATCTGCTGTACTAACCCGTTCTACAGAGGTCTGGCTCCCAACTAGCCAGGGTCCTCCCCGTTGTGCTTCTAAGGCCTCTCTCAATATCCGGCCTAGTACATGCTCAGGAATCATGGACTCTGTGTGTGTGTGTGTGTGTGTGTGAGTGAAGTAAATGATACCTGTATCACATTAATTGTGAACTAGGAGTGTTTTGTTTTTAAATTTAAGATCTTGCATTCTTCCTTTCCAGAAATCTGTGCAAGTCTGTTACATATGTTGCTTCATTATGAAACCTCTAATCGAGCTATTTGGCTTCAAGGACTGGAGGTTTCCACTTCCTTCTCCCTTTTCTTGAAAACTCAGTAAGGAATTTCCTGGACTCCGAGAGGTGGCTAATGTTAACTGTTAATGAGTGCAAGATACGGGAGCTCTGCAGGGAGCGGCATAGAGACTTGCGGGCAGCATAATTATCCCTGCTGTGACAGGGGAGGAGCGGCCACTTCCTGCGCCAGGGCAGTCCTGGCGTCCGTGCGGGGCCTCACGGCCAGCGCTCCCAGCCGTCAGTCAGCAGACCGTGAGCTGAAGGAACGTACCTGTAAGACTGTGCAACTCGCTCCTGCCGGTCTTCACCTCATTTAGTAACTGGTCTCGCTCTTGTCTGATGTCCTTCACTGCACGGAGCCGCTCGGAGCCTGCGTTCACCAGCTTCACCTTTTCCAGCTCCAGGTCACTCACTCGGGCCTCAAGTTCCCGTATCTTTGCATCTTTTTTATCTTTTAAAATCTAAATATATGGACAGATACAAAGGATGGAGTAAGAAATAAAAAAGAAACATATGTAGATGTAGTTATAATAGACATTATATTAGTATCCTATCTATATTTAATATCTTTTCCCTCTTTCTTATTAAATTTCATTTTATTATAAAACCTCAATAGTAAATGGGAGAACAAAAAGAATATTTTACCTTTCTTTTAATCTTAGATGCCAATTTCCAGTCTCATTTGCTACAACTCCTTCATTATTCTTATTCCTATTTTTTTTAAGTTTATTTATATTGAGAGAGTGAGAGAGAGAGTGTGTGCATGTGTGCCCTTGGGGTAGGAGCAGAGAGAGTAGAGAGAATCCCAAGCAGGATCCTCTCTGTCAGCACAGGGTCCCACTCAGGGCTCAGTCTCATGAACCGAACTGTGAGATCATTACCTAAGCTGAGATCAAGAGTCAAGAGATTTAACTGACTAAGCCACTCAAATGTTCCTTTTTTTTTTTTTTTTTCATTAAAAAAATGTATTGAGCACCTACTTTGTGACAGGAACTATTTTACATGTTGGGAACAGAGCAGCTGGGGAGGGACTGGGGTGAGGCCTCACTTGCCTGAGTTCTATGTCCTAGGAGCCTCACTAGCCTTACCCTGTCCCAATCATGAAACACAGAAAATAAAACAAACAACATCCTTGTCCCCACAGGGCTTACAATCCAGTCAGAGGAGACACAGGATAACAAATACTTAATAGTATAATAATAAGTGACTGAAAAAAGAATATAACAAGGTGAGGGGGTAGAGAATGAATGCAGGGGTGGGTATCTGCACATAAGAGATATGTTGGTGGGTAGAAAAGCACCCAAATGCTATTCTTATTAAGGCCTGCAACAAGGTTGGCCCTTGGCTGGGGTCTGGGAACTTGGACTTGGGAGAGTTCTCGCCACTCTAACTGTGCCTAAATCATTTCGGCAGACAAAATGATTTATGCTGAGTACCTGCTTTCCTTCTGGAGAACTGGAATACTTTCCAGGCAACAGGTGTCCGTGTGCCCAGACCCCAGTATAAAAACCCTGGGGACTGAGTCTCTAATGATCTTCCCTGGTTAGATGTGCTATCACAGCTCATTGCTGGAGGAGCAAGTACATCCTGCCAGAGAGGAGTTTTGGAAGCCTGTGCCTACTCTCCTCCCATGCCCCTTCTCCCTCTGCTGATTTTACTTTCTATTCTTTCACCGTAATAAACTGTACCCATGAGCACAGCTCTATGCTGAATCCTGTGAGTCCTCCTAGCAAATGTTTGAACTTGTGCGTAGTCTCGGGGACCCCAATCCTCTCTGATAAGCAGAAATCTCAAAGAGGGAAGTGAAGGAGTAACCCATGTGACAGGCTTGGGGACAGTTCTAGGCACAGGGAATGTGTTCAGGAAACAGCAAAGCCATCAGAATGGATGGGGAGGGGGACCAGAATCTGCCACCCCAAACATGCTTCTTTGGCACACAGATTATTTTAAGCTGATTATTTTGAGAAACAGCAGGGAAAAGGTCTGAAAACAGAAATTGTCCTTTACAGGATATTTCTATTTACAAAGGAAGTCTCACTTGTAAGGGTGTCTCTCTCTGAACCACAAAAGGAAGAATGGCTCTAAATTATAAGAGAATCTTATCAGTGGGGAAGGCACAGCTTAAATCTGCAAAACAAACCTCATCCCCATTTTCCATAGATCTCCTGGTCACTTTCCCAGGACTGTCTCTTTCACATCCTTCTTTGTTTTAGCTAAAGATGATATTTAAGCCTGAATTCTTTTTTTTTTTTTTAAGTACGCTTCCCACCCAATGCAGAGCCTAACAACGGTCTCAAGACTATGAGATCAAGACCTGAGCTGAAGGGATCCTGGGTGGCTCAACTGGTCCAACTTCAGCTCAGGTCAGGATCTCATGGTTTGTGGGTTCGATCCCTGCATCGGGCTCTGAGCTGACAGCTTAGAGCATGGAGCCTGCTTCAGATTCTGTGTCTCCCTCTCTCTCCTTTTCCCCCTC